TTAAAAAAAAAATTTTAGGGGCGCCTGGGTGGCTCAGTCGGTTAAGCATCCAACTTCAGCGCAGGTCATGATCTCACAGTTCATGGGTTTGAGCCTCACGTCAGGCTCTGTGCTGACAACTAGCTCAGAGCCTGGAGCCTGTTTCAGATTCTGTGTCTCCCTCTCTCTCTGCCCCTCCTCTGCTCACTCTGTCTCTCTCTCACACACACAAATATATAAAAACATTAAAAAAATTTTTTTTTAATTTTTTTTATAAAGAACACAGCAAACACTTAAAGGTAGGGATTACTGGATGAATTAAAGAAACAACAACACCATGAATGTTTTTGTGTCTAAGCAGTGTGACTGTGTGACCACTTCAATAAATGTTAGTTATAATGAGGGATATATAACTATGTTCATTTTTCACATGATGAAACTCAAGTTTAGAAAAATTTAATAACTTGTCCAAAGTCAATTAAATGGTTTCTAGCAGAAAACTCAAGATTAAATTTCAAGTCTGACTCCAGAGTCTAGGTTTTTCCATTACCCTCAAAGCAAAAGTCTATAAAAATTATTCTCCTGTCCAGAAGTTTCATGAAGGACCTAGTAATAGAATTTTAAATATAAGACCATAAGAACTTAATTCCTAAGAGCCAAAATCTATTTATAAAAAGGTCATTAACAGAATTTGTTTGATTGTAATTTCTTACCCATAGACTCTTACTAATTAACATTAAAGATATTGAAAGACTGAACAAGTCCCACCTTCAGGACAAGTAGGAAAACTCAGCCAGAGAAAAAGGGCAGACACCATTAGCTTTGGGATATTGCAAGTGGCTTGTGCCTGGCCCTCCACCATTACCATTATCATTCTGGATGTCACTAAGTATATTTGAAAAGTGAAACCCACTGAATAGAAGGAAAAAACCTACGCTTTATTATTTAACATTCAAATTTCCAAAGTCCATATGCCAGATGGTAACATCCTATTACTCTGAAATGGAAATTTTAATCAGAGTACTTAATGAGAAGAGAAATTACCTACTAATGCAAGTCTCTTAATTTTATATTACTATATTTTCACCAATCTGATATTACTACATTTTCACCAATCTTTACTTTAAAAATGACCTTATAAAGTCTGCTGATTTGAATCAAGACAATTGCATTTTTCTTTTATAACCAGTATTAACTACGAGAGTCTCAGATGCAGTCCAAATCTCCACTGCAGAAGGTATTAACTTTTTATGTTGAATATTCTTTCTGGAGGGCATTCCATTTTTACAGTATTAACACAAAAACAGACCCCATTCTCTCATGAATGGGAATGCAGCTCTAGAAATATTTTAAATCCTAAGCTTATCAATTGTACTATTTAATACAGGAGTATAATATGTTCCAAATCTTCACAGTAAGCTTTCAAATAAAACCTTGCCCACAGGTCCTCTTCTGCCCAAATGTACGCAGACCTCCCAAGAAATTGACAGCATGAGAAATAATGCAAGTTGACACTTTGTAAAGTCATGAAGTTCATTAGGTCCAAAGACCCCAAGACACACTATCCAACTAAATATGGCTCATTGGCTGGAACAGCTGCAAGAAAAGGCTAGTGTAAAAGAAAAAAAATCAATGGTTGTTATTTAGGAGGAAGAGAAAAATTGATGCTGATGTAGGCAAGTTGCAGAACCAACCATATTACCTAAGTGGCAGCTACACCTGCCAACTTTGACAGTCTGTCAATGCCAATCCTAGCTCAGTGCCAGATTTCTTCCCAATTCTGTTTCTCTATCTGTCCCATCGAACTCTCATTCTGGACACTGTCTCAGCTGTAATATTAATGCTTTGTGTGACAGTGGGCTTCTGCTTTTCAGTCAGTTAAAATAATCTCCAAAATCTAGTTTATCAATATAAAGTATATAGCCCTTCAAACTTTGAATTCAAAATTCCAATCTTCAGAAATATGAACTCACAGCATCACAAAAATGTGAGCAACCATGACTCAGTGAGGTAAATAAATCCTGATGCAGTGCTTTGGGATAACATCCTATCCACAGTTCTGTTGCTGACTAGCTGTGAGACCATAGGCAAGTTAAAAGCATTCTGTGCCCTAGTTCTTTTCATCTTGCAAATGAAGATAATCAAAGTATCTACGTACCAGGATTGTATCTACGTAACAGGATTGAGAGACCTAAATGAGTTAATAAACAAAAAGTGCCTGGGATATACTAAGCATATGGAGAAATTCCCAATGAGACCATGAAAAGGGGGGTGTTGCTTCTCTAGAAGGTTCCCTGAACCCATCACTGATGATGTAACACTGCTCAATTCCTCACAGAGACCTTCACATTTAATGAGCAAAGAATAAAATTTCGGATTGGAGGTTATAAGGATTCAAGGGAACAAAATGAAATGATGTAGATTTCAAGGGAAAGTTATAAAAAAAAAAAATCACCTAACATTACTCTTGACTTTTAGGCTTTACAAACCAACAGGAGTAATCACCACAGTTTTCTCGCAGGGGGAAGATCATCTCAGGAGGGAAACGCTACATCGAATGTTTAGATTTCCCCTCAACTTCTGAAAATTATGTTCACAGAGTTAAAACCCAATAAAACAAATACTAAATATGCATAGATAGACACAAACACATCACTTTTCCATCTCATAAGGTTTAGCAACAGAATCATTTATAAAATCTAAGTTAATAAATAAAAATTCTTATCTTCCCTAGAGCAAACAAATTGATCTCATTTTCTAGGAAGTCTCTCATATTTTAAAAAAAGAAATGCTAATTTCAACAAGGCAATATATATTTAGCATGGAGAAATTTTTAACAGTTAAACACTGGATTAACTAAAAATATGTTTTACAAAGCGGCCGGGGTGGGTGGGGGCCAGGGTGGCTCAGTTAGTTACGCTCCAATTCTCGATTTCAGCTCAGGTCATGATTTCATGGCTATGAGATGAAGCCCCACAGGGGGCTCTGAGCGGAGCATGGAGCCTGCTTGAGATTCTCTCTCTCCCTCTGCCCCTCCCCCACTCGCATGTGTTCTCTCAAAAGAAAGACAGAAGGAAAAGAAAGGAAAGGAAAGGAAAACAACAGCAGGTTTTATAGCAAGAAAACTTGGAGGAGTTGGAGCTTGGCCTCCAAAATAAAAACAAAATTACTCTCCATGGTCCCTCCCTAAACAGAACACACACTGATTTACAACTGTACTAGTAGGTATTTATCCAAAGGATACAGGAGTGCTCTTTCAAAGGGGCACATGCACCCCAATGTTTATAGCAGCACTATCAACAATAGCCAAAGTATGGAAAGAACCCAAATGTCCATTAATGGATGAATGGCTAAAGAAGATGTGGTGTATATATACAATAGAGTATTATTCAGTGATCAAAAAGAATGAAATCTTGCCATTTGCAACAACATGGATGAAACTAGAGTGTGATATGCTAAGCGAAACTACAGAAAGACAAATTATCATATGACTTCACTCAAATGTGGAATTTAGTATACAAAACAGATGGATATAAAAGGAGGGAAGCAAAAATAATATAAAAGCAGGGAGGTGGACAAACCATAAGAGACTCTTAAGTTCAGAGAACAAACAGGGTTGCTGGAGGGGTTTTGGATGAGGGGGATGGGCTAACTGCGCAAGGGGCATAAAGGAGGGCACTTGTTGGGATGAGCACTAGGTGCTATCTGTAGGCGAAGAACCACTGGATTCTACTCCTGAAATCATTACTGCACTATACATTAACTAACTTGGATATAAATTAAAAAATAAATAAATCAGAACTAGAAGGATCTTAATCAAAAACAAAACAAAAACACCTCATTTTTAAGGTATGATATATTCCATACCAATAGACGATTTAATGCTAAGAAAGGAATTTTCATTGAGGAGCCCATCAGAATCAATTGTGAGAAATACGCTTCCAAATTATATATATTCCCACAGATTATGGCAGATATTCCCTCAGATAACTTACAGGTGGCGGGGTGAAAGCCACTGCTCTCATGAGCAAGTATAATAAAAGACAATGGATGACAGACTCTTCTGTATGCTGCAGGGAAAACACACTGAGTGCCAACTGTTTTAACAGACGAAAAATCTGGGGAAACTAAGGAAGAGAATGTAGATCGGACTAAGGAATGGCCTAAAACAAAAGGAAAGACACTTGGTCTCCTGTGTCTTATTTTTTATGAGTAGCTTCGCATTCTATGTACTTACAACTCAGATGGAAATGAAATACCTGTGGAGTTTATTTCCTTCCTATGTATAAAACCACGCCCCCAAAGTTCAGCATCATTCAGCTCGAGGCCTACTACAGAGACTTAATGCCACAGAGGACATTTTGTGTTTTAAATATTTATCTATAGAGAAGTTTATCTAACATATAATTTCATTCCCCAATTCCTCAATTCAAAGGAAATTTGCTACCATAATTAAGCATCTAATATTCAACACAACAAAGTAGGTTTGTTCCTGCTACTAGTTAATGATGGTTTTTAAGCTTTCACTAAAAAACTAAAAAGCAAAGAATTAATTCCTATTATTAATAAGGTAGTTACGTCTACATATGCATAGAACATGCTTGGGAAGATTTACAAGGAACTGTCAGACTGTTACCTCTTTGGAGTGGAACGGAGAGGAGCTAAGAGATAACTTTATCATTTATTTAAACAATGAGCATGTATTACTTTAAAAGAAACCATCCATAAATTCTTAACTCCCATGAGGGGTATCCACAGCCCAAATTTAGTAAGTCGCAGTTTAATTAACATCCTAAACACTTCCTCCTTTGCCTTAAAACTTTCCAATTCAGTAGACTCTAATCTGTATAAGCAGGATAGCAATCCATCCGACAAGCTAACCTACTACGAAATAGCAAAGCAGTCTAAGGCTAAAGGTTCACAGTGGTTTTCTCCTTTATCTCACAACCCTAACTTCTCAACAACCACGTTTCCAAGAAGGTGGGCAAGAACAAAACGCAAACATATGTAAACATTCTCACATGTTCTATAGCACCCGTCTGTCCATTACTATAGTCTCGATACTGTCCAAGCATCTGGTCTACTTGTCGCAGGTTCCGACTGGTGTCCTTAAAAAAGAAAATGGATTTTAGTAATTGTTCCAAGCAACTTTTTTCTCATTCTTAGTATTATGTCAAACAGTGAAGTCAGCCACTTGTGAAAGGTACAATTTACATCATACTTAAGTTGGATACTAATATACAGTACTTTTTAAATATCAAATCATATAAAAACCACTGAGAGAGAAACTGAAATCCATCCACAATTTACTTGTGTGAAATCTGAAGTACATAAGTTAAATCCTTATCCAACGTTCCATAATAAGTCAGGAACAAAATCCCAATTTGAAAAGACTCCTTATTTTTAATTTGTGCACCTCAACTAATTCACACCTCCTTTATAGAAAAAGAATCCTGAAAGAACAAACCTAGTAGATTGTGTATAAGAGAAGCAAATCATTGGGATCAATGTTATTTTAATTATTACTTCACTGTGGAACTTGATTAGGAGAAAAAGAAAAAAAAAAGGTATCCTTTAGCTATAAGCAACAAATTTAGCTGTAATCTCAATAAAAATGGTTTCTACCCCAATGTGCTAGATTTTACCTCAGAGATTAATGGAGGCATTTCTGTCAAAAAGATATACTTACTGATAATGTGTCTCATTGGTGGGAAAGTACAAGGATTTGTACTCCAAAAATCCAATGTTATACTAGTTTACATAAGTTTAAAAAGAGCCTTCAGAGTTTTAAATCAAATTATGGCCTCTCCACCAGAAATCAGCCTCTTCTCATTAAGAATACTAACCCAAGGACACCTGGTTAGCTCAGTCGGTTAAGTGTCTGACTTCAGTTCAGGTCATGATCTTGCGGTTCACAAGTTTGAGCCCCGTGTTGGGCTCTGTGCTGACAGCTTGGAGCCTGGAGCCTGCTTTGGATTCTTTGTCTCCCTCTCTCTCTGCCCCTACCCTGCTCGTGCTCTGTCTCTCTCTCTTTCTCTCAAAAATAAACAAACAGCAAAACAAATTTAAAAAAATACTAACCCAAAGCAATTAAAAGCGAAAATCCAGGCATACCCAGGCAAAGCAAAAATAAGAAATTAAGGGGTAGGAAAAACTCTATTTCTGAGTTTTCTTCCCCCCTCGCCCCCTGGCATGGCTATGCTACCCTTCCCCCACCTCTTTCCCCAAGCCCTTTCTACATAAAGGATATAAACTGCCTCCACTCAAACTTCCAAACACTGCCAAAAGTTAGCCTCTGAATAAAAATGGCATCTCAATATTGTTCATCCGTAATAATCTGCCTAGTCAAAAGATGAGCAGCTACTCTCAATGGCACATGGCCACAAGAAGCTAAACGATAGTACTTCCTACCCTTTCGCTCCCACACATTTTATTTGGACATACTGCCTCATCCCCAAATGCTTCCCAACCTATCACATTATTTCAAATGTCTTTACTGACTGCGTTAGGTATCATAAGACATTCGAGTCCTAATCCTTGGAATTTGTGTATTTGTAACCTTCCATGGCAACAGAGATTTTGTAGATATGATATACATCTCAAGTTAAGGACTTGGAAATGGGAATATTATCCTGGATTATTGGATGAACCCAATGTAATCACAAGTGTCCTTAAGAACAGAAGAGGGAAACAGAAGAGTAGTCAGAGTGATGTGACATGAGGACTCAACCCACCCAAGCTGGCTTTGAAGATGAAGGAAGAGCATCCCCCAAAAAATGTGAGCAGCCCCTGGAAGCTGGAAAAGGCAAAGAAAAAGATATTCCCACGGGCCTCCAGAAAGGAATGCAGCCCTACTGAACCCTGATCACTGGTCCAATGAGACCAGTGTTGGATTATGATATACAGAACTATAAGAAAATAACTTTGGTATTTTAACTATTAATTACAAACAGCTATAAATTATATATCATTATGTAATTATGTAATTAGTTTTGTGGTAGTTTGCTATGGCAGCAAAAACAAAAAACTAATACACTGACCCAACTACTTCTCAGTTTAAACTATTTAAAGTCTATTAAGTGCAACCACTGTTAAACTAACCTGTAAAGTATTTGTTATGGTGTTGACCTTCTCGGTGACGCCTACTGTAGGACGACTTAGACATTCCCTGTATGTTGACCTGGCAGTCCATCGACTCAATCGGTCACGAGAGCGAAAGTGTTCTGAATCGCTGGAGGATTCTGCCATTGATGTACACAATCCTTAAAATAAATCCAGGTCAAGGTCGATCAAGTAGTAAAGAACATGGAAATAGGATATTAAATTAACTATCTGCATTTTGATCATTTGTATTTATTACATTAGTCCTTTGGCATATCACAATTCCTAAGCACATAGCCGGAAAATACAAGCCACTTCCCCACGTAATTCGCTCTCCTTCATTTTTTCCATTTGAAGAGAACAATTCCTCAGATATGATTTTAGTCATGTTTACAACTCCAAATAATAATATTCCCTTAGCTCTGTGCAATGCTTCTAAAGTTTAAAAGCACTTTCATATACAGTATCTCACATAATCTTATTAACAACATTGCAAGGTAGAAGAGGCTGGTAGATTGGCATCTCTACAATTGGGGGAAAAAAAGTTATTCTCTAAGCTAGGACTTTCATCAATATTAGTCTGAAGTCCATTCTACCAAGTTGTAAGAACATGTGTTATCTTTAAACAAAAATGCAACACTCACAGAATGACCTAAAATAAGAAAACTCCATTCAGTGTACAGTGAACACTCTCATGCACCTTGATTTATTTTTTTAAGATTTTATTTTTGAATAATCTCTCTACACCCAACATGGGGCTCAAACTCACAACCCTGAGATCAAGAGTCCCATGCTCTACTGACTGAACCAGCCAGGCACCCCTCATGAAGCTTAATCTGAAATACAGAATTTGGGGCACCTGGGTGGCTCAGTCGTTTAAGCGTCTGACTTCGCCTCAGGTCATGATCTCACGGTTCGTGGGTTCAAGCCCCACATCGGGCTCTGTGCTGACAGCTAGCTCAGAGCCTGGAGTCTGTTTCAGATTCTGTATCTCCCTCTCTCTCTGACCCTCTCCTGCTCACGCTGTCTCTCTCTCTCTCTCTCTAAGTAAATAGAACATTTAAAAAATTTTTAATAAATACAGAATTAAATGCTATAACAGAGGTACAAATTCCATAACAAGTATGTGAGAAGATGACATTGTCAACATCTCCACCAAAAGAGAAAGCCAAATATCCTGAGTATAGTTTCATCAGCAGAAAATTTCCTAAATATGCTTTCTTCCCATCCTTACCTCAATTTTTTATTTAATGCAAAAGAAAATCATTTTATGCATGACCATCTAAAAAGTTTCAGAAAATCTTCTGTGGAATTTAAAGAAAAAAAATATTTGGGACAGAGGAGCATCAGAGAAAACTCACTGATCGAAAGTGGATGTTTGTTGAGTGTTCCAATAATTTCATTTTTTGCTTAATGGAGGGTTAACCATCTTTAACATTGTTATAATCTTCCTGAAACCTATGTGGCCATTTTTTCTGGTTTCTTAAATACAGCGTATTGAAACCTTTTGCTAATGTTCTAGAATATTCTAGACTTTATGGATCTTTAATCTGAATGCACCTGGGAAGTATGTGTACAACATGTGAAAACACTGGGGTATCTAAATTTAACTTTAAAACAGAAAATCTTAGCACTAAATAAAATTAAGAACATGAACTAAATTAAGTGTAACTGTCACTTAATACAAAAAGAAAAAGAAAGACCTCTCACCCTACTAGGGATTACAGATTTTTTAATAACAGAAAATCACACTTTCCAGCATGAATTTCACTGGCACACCTACACACAGTCTTCAGCTATTAATTTCAATTACTTTGAGCAATAAAAAATGTTCAAACTCCAGCATCTAATGGAACTCTTGAAAAGATATCAAGATGTAAGATGAGACTGATCTGAGAATTCTGCGAGACTTTTGATTATATAAAATATGAAACATTCAGCAATCATCTAAGCACTTTAGTTATACATAAGTGTCATAAATGTTGAACAAAGAGACATTAAAGAATCCATAATAAAACAGAAATCAGATCGCTTTCATTGTTGATAAAAACTGAGCACTCTCTTCAACTATTGACAGCTCACAAGGTCAAACATGACCCTCAAAGTTAACTGAGCGAGCCCCTATACTAAGTGTCACAACGCAAGAGGCAGCCATGCTGGCAGAGATCCAACCTTATCAAAAGATGCTCGTGTCTTATCAGCCAACACCATGGCTCCCCAGACACAGAGTTGATGGAGGGAGGGAGAAACAAAAGAGAAAGGGGTGGCCACTTGAACTGGCAAGAGCCTCAAGCCAGCCACATAATCAGAGCCTAGAGGCAATATATGAAGAGTCATTAAAATAGCTCCCAAGATCCCTTAGTATAATTGACTAAAGGAAGAAAAGCACAAAGCAGTAAGTGCCAATCACATACTTTACTCACCATTAAGACTGTATTATTTTATAATTAAAAACTTAATTTTTAAAAAATATCATATCTCCTACTATCAATGGTGTTAATGAAAATTGACCAGGACTCTGAAAATCGTCCCCCCAGTGAAACTGTACCCAGAGTATTAGACTTACTCCACGTTGATAAAAAGCATATTGAGAATGGTCAGATTGATCACCTAACTAAAGTGTATGCATGGCCATTAATTAAAAAACACTGTTCTACCTAATAAATCTAAAATGTAAATTAAACAATGAGATGCTCTTCTAGCCTATTAAGTTCTTTTCTATGGTTAGTCCGGTTGGTAGGGGAAAGCACATTCCTCCACTGTCCTAACGGGATGTGTAAATTGATATAACTTGTCTGGATACAACCAGGCAGTATGTACCCAGAGCAGTTTGTACCTATAACCTACTAACTACATTTCCAAAAGTTTCCCTTAACAAAATCATCTGGAATACAAATAGATTTTCTATTTGTGGATATTTACTGAGAAGTTACAATAGAGGGAAAATAAAAACTTAAATTTCAAACTATAAAAGAATGGCTAAAACATGGTACCTCTCATGCAATGAAACAGTATACAGATACTAAAAAGTCTGTTTCTGGAGACATTTAATAGCAATTGCAAGGATAAAAGCATGAATCCCAATTGTGTCATATGCACTGTATGTTGTCTGTATGTGAATATAAGTTGTCATTAAACAAATTTAAAGGAGCAGGAAAAAGCAACAATAAAAGGGGAAGAAAGTATACCAAAAGTGTATTTACCATCCGGCAATTACATACAGTCATTTTCTATTTTTTTTTTTAAACATTCTTGACCATCTGCCAAAGCAAGGTCATGTCACTAGTCCTCACCAACTGAGGAGTTCACAAGATGGGATCATGATGCCAGCCTACATTGTTCCACACTGTACAATACCGGCTGACCAAAGAAACCATTTATCAGGAGTTTATGAGCTAAAAGAATAATTTTTATTATATGATTCCACCTTTGCAATTTTGCTGACAGCCATTAGATTCCAAAATGGACTCTCAAAAAGAAACATACTAAATACTGGAATAAACTTAAATGTTGAAGGACTACATGAAGGTAAAGTAGTGTGCACTGACAGCTTACGCAATCACATTCTGCTTTGGGGAACAAATTAAAAGTGGTTTGTGAATGATTTTTCTTCATTGCAATTACAATTTGAAGCCCAAAGAAAAATTATTGACTAGTAGAAAAACATCAGTGTATGCTCAAGAGAAATCTTCAGCATTATGGTGAATGATTTAAAAGAAGAAAATTCAGTTGGGCTAGAACTCCATTCTCATCATCATAAGAAATTTGAGCATAACATTTGTTGACAGAAAACAAGAGCGGCTAAAATTGAAGAATAACTGAAGCACTCTTTCAAGAACCAGTTATTCATTTACTTAATTATTTTTAAAGAAAAATTTAAAGAAGCTGAATCACCTAAATCCCGGTTAAAGGTGAGAAAAGCATTGCCTTCAACTGAAAAAGAAACAGTAAATGTTCTCTGCAGCTTACTACCACCTACTAGTACAACAAAATTTCTCATTGATGAGAAAGTGAGAATACACAAGCTGTCTGCTGTTCAGATGCTGAGCTTTTTCTAAGACTAAGGACTCGAGGGGTGACCTTGGGTGAAAGTCTCCAGAGCCTTAGAGAACACTCTCAGTCTGAAACCAGATGGTACAATTCTTAGAATAGTTTATTTAGCTTTTCCCAACACATCAGTATTTAAAGGCATAAATAGTGTTGCTTCTGTCTTAATGAACCTTATAAAGAAGACATACAGCCACCAGAGTAAGTAATGAACCCTCATCAATTCACTCCCACTGAGGATCTATCAAAAACAAATGTCTATATGCAAACCTGAACACCAACCAGAGAGAGTAAAACTGCATTCAACCCTCTAAAAGGATTGCCGATGAATCTTTACTAACTCTAGTCCACCTCTTTTGTTATTTGACCTAAAGAGCCATCAGACTGTCTTCATTATAATGATGCACATTTGTATGTAGGAGAGTTATAATTTATTGATCCTCAAGTCTCTTTTCCTCAGAGCCAGTTTAAAACAATTAGGATTTGCAAGCTGTTCCATAAAAGATAAGCACCCAGCATCAGGGGGTGATATTTCACAAAGGCTGACTAGTGCATGCTAAGTAAGTGATGGCTCCTGTGGCCTTCAAGTGCCTCAGCTGGCCCTGTCCAAGGCAACTGTCCTCAATGTTCAAGGTAACGATGATGATACTTAAGAGTGTTGGGGGAAGGTACAAAGTGTCTATTAAGCTTAATCACTAACCAAGTTCAAATTTTAGAAAGCATTTCTCACTGTTTCAATAGCTGTAGGACTTGAGAGCTTTATTCCCTCCCTCAAGAGAAAAAGTAAAGAAGCCAGCAGAAATTACCATATACAATTATCAACTGTACGTATCTTCTTTATGCCAGTGCTCCTCTGGACTTCAAATCCTCAAAAGCTTTTGGTAAATTAATAGAAGATCAAAATCAACTGTCCAGTCCATCAGCCAGTTAGGAGACAACGTAAGACACAGGAAACAGAATCAAAGAGATGCAATAGATTCGTGCATTCATCATTTACTGAATCACTACATTAGAAATGGAAGATAAAAGTAAATTAAAATATCACAGTCCTTGAGGGGAGAAAAAGACTCATAAAAGTACTACACATGGTGAACTAAGTAATATGACAAAAGGC